GAATTAAAAACATTGTAAATTACTTCTCTAGAAAGCCAGCAATGTTCCACTTTTTATAATTTTCCTCCATGAGAATCCCCGTGTTGTGGTTTATTCAGCACTACACTTCATAATGAGGTTAATTGCTAATCTACTGCTAATTGAAAATTATTGAAGGGGTTGGAATGATTCCTGGCTCTTAGCGGATTAGAATGGGGTGCATTTACCTCCGAGGTTCATTTCAAGGTCAACCTGAATGTTCAATGAATATCTCCATAGCTTGATAAACTTATCGAAGAGACTTCTTGGTCAAAAAATTACCCATTAAAAGATGAAACGATAAACCAAATTTGAATGCATATAATATTCGAACATCCTTGAGTTACTCTCAGGAAACCATATTTATATCTCAAATTCAAAACCCAGTGTCTCGAGAACTGAACACTTGAAGGTCGTATGTCTCATAATAATAATGATATTAAAAAAATCGAGAGGTCTGTGACCGAGTCTGTGACCTGTCACCTATAATCGTTTAAATTTCGAAACACCCTGTGAAAGATAAGAGGAAATCGAGTATAACACTCATTTAAAAGTTTCAGTAATCTTCATTGAAGTTCAGAAATTATGATCCTCTGTTCGATATCGAGATGGAAAACATTCCACTGAAAGTCGGAAATAAATTTCAGTTTCGTTTATCAGACTAGCCCAGGTAGGATGAACTGGTAACTTTCAGATATTTAAAGGTGAAACAACTTATTCCACTCCAGGCTATAGGTCAAATCTGCAATGGTCTCTGAAGTCAGCGAACTTTTACTCATATAAACTCATGCAGTTGAGAGACTTGTATAGGTTATACACATTCGATCTTACGTGTACCACCAAGACGATGTTGAGATAATCGGTGAAAATGAGAATTTTAGTGGTATCTTCCTTTATTTTCTCCACCCATTAGAGGCTAATAAATATACAGGGTGATTCAGGTTTGAAGTTTACAAACTAAATGGGTGAAAGGTGTCATCATTTTGATGAAACAGTTTCCATGAGTCCGTATCGGAGCTAAGAGGGTGAAATTTTAAATATTTTCTTCTATTAATTGGAATATCTTGCTCACTTTTGAAGATATCAATTTGAAATTTGGTGTTGGAACTACTTTCTAGAAAATTATAATTTTTAAGCTTCTCAAACGTTTTTTGAATCTACAAGGTGATATACGTTTTTCGGGGGTGAAGGCTCCTTTATCCCCCCCAAAACTTTTTAGTATTACGTCTCTGACATCTCCTAAATCCTGAATAGGCTGGATCGTTTAGTTTGAAGGCTTTTCTGTCTTGTATTTTTTTCCGAGAAATAAACCGTTTTCGAGATAAATAAGCATATTCGTTCTTAAACATGTGAATTTCATTTAATTTTTTTCATATTCTTGGACAATATTCTTTACCAATATTTACAATGATGTTAAGTACGAAATATATGTATTGTGGACTGGAATATTAACCATATTTAGCATTTACCTATAATGTCCTTTGTTGGCCGTATACATTTTTCCCTACAGATTGAATGCTATATTATTTTCAAATTTTTTGATGATATTTCACTTGAATTTTTGGGATTTTCCCTCCTCGTTTCTATGAAACAAAAATATGCGTATCATTTCAATATATTTGTAGTGGGACAAATCAGATGATTTGTCCCAAAATGTCACTGCGTTTAACAATTTTTTTTATCAGAGAGCCTAAAAGAAAAATCTCGAGAAAAATCCAGTAGCTTGTCAGTGACAATTTGTTTGAAAAATGTTTGAGGGAAAGAAATATAGATATATTGAGAAAATATCGAATTTTTACTTATCTTTGGACGTTTCGGGACCGAATATGCTCCTGTTCTCAACATAAAAATGCAAAATATCTCTCTACTTTAAGGAACAACTTCCAAAAACACATTTTTTGGCAAATCATCTGATTTGTCCCACTACAAATATATTGAAATAATACGCATATTTTTATTTTATAGAAATGAGGAGAGAAAATCCCAAAAAATCCACCTTCTCGATTGACCAAGAGACAGTATTTTTTAATGATATTGGAAAAAAGATACAACTGGTTATTTTCAATCAATCCCAAAGAATATTCCATAAACATGTGCCTTAGAGCAAAGTATGAGGTTGTATTTTGTTATAGATGACTATCTCTACAATACAATACAACTATACAACGTAACAACAGTTACGTTGTATAGTTCCCTTTTATTTTCATGGAGGTGAATGATAATAAAAAGTCTCAAATTTGTGTATATCAATAATGCTATTATAGAACTTCAAAGGACTCAAATCCAATAAGCTGACCTGAATATTGGCATAAGTTATAAGTATGAACTAGGGCATTGTGAGTATAATCTTTTCTTCGTCAAATCCTGTCAAATAGATGCATAATGCAAAATAAATTAGGCTTTGGATATTCGCATAGGCATATTCAAGAGATTGCATAACAGTTAGTTCAGATTATTGATTGAACTGATATTTTCCTATATGTTCATCATTTTTTTGCTTCAAATAATCTGGCTTCAAATGGGCCGATTATTATCTCTATATACCAAGTGGTATCAACCACATAGTTTGCCTGAATTGATTGAAAATCATTAATCAGAGGTTGATATCCCAACTCAAGCGTTTGCTTTTGGCGATATCACAAGCATCGCAAGTATTGATGATTTTCGCGATGTTGCCAGATGTTCCATAATAGTTTAACGATGTAGTATGGTGGGAGCACACATTATGTCGCATAGAACACATCATGTTATTTACCGCCCCAATATCGGAATCACCCTGTATAGATCTGTATGGTAGACATCATATTTTCAAATGAATCGAAATATACTTCAGCTTTTAGATCACGCGTTGTGTCATGCCAATATCAGTTGAAACAATCGAAAATATTTTCTCGTATACTACAGGTATGTAGTAGTCTCTTTTCGTTATTCCAGAAGCCTACTTTCGAAGTAATTCGGAAAGTTATTGGGCAACCAACAGCCAATAAACATTTGATGTGATATCAATGTTTCTCTTGTTCCAAATGGAGGCTAATTACTTTACTTCGTTCACACTAACGTTATTTGAAACGAAGCAAAATTTCGACATCAAATGATTTCACATAATTTTATGAACCAATCCATCAGTCCAGTTACTCACATTTTTTGTACATAAAATTAAACACTTCACAGCATAGAGTCAGTTCATGATGACAGCACAATAAATATAATATCAATACCTGCTTAATACACTATTAATGCTCTTATAAATCATTCTTCAAAATTTATAACATTTTTATTTGAAATTTAAACAACTAATACCAGCCAGTGACTCTAAACGTGAAACGTGATACTCGTGACAGATATGTCAAGTCAAGATCACGATGTTTCCGCGTTTGCGTCCTATCTCTACATGCTTTTATTCAGCTATTATTGAATTCGTGCATCATCAACGGGACTTTTCAGGTCTCGAAAGAAGAAAAACACACCCTTGGAAATCTAGTTCAACTTCATAATAAGATTCGAAACGTATTTTGAAATTTTTCCAGAAATTATCCATCTTTCAAACCATCTATCATCGAATATGAGAACCGAACTCTCATTCAATTGTTCATATCGAGAGTTAGTCGAATCGAAACAATTGAAGAGTGAGCACACCGAAAGAATTATTAACATCTCAGTAGAAAATGATATTCAACGTCTTGGCTGATTTCCTATTAGGCTAATAAAATTAAATCGAAAAAAACCGTTTTGAGGAATTAATTTCCAGCAAACTGGAAATCGTTTTAATACCTCTATTTGGTCCTAAATGCGTGTAATCTGAGTTTGCACCATGTCAGGTGGTGAGCTTAACTTTTGATAGCCAAAAAACCGCCACATCTTTGCACTTTTTTTATTTTTTTGCTTATAGCTGCAAAACGGTGCGTCGGACGTAAAATGTTATTCCATTCAATAATACAGAGGACAAAATTCTGCGTCGAATGACATCTGAAAACATCAAATTCCGTTCAGAGGTATAGCCGAAATCGAATGTTAAAAAAAAGAAAATTTCGTAGTTCGGTACAACTCGTGCGCGAAATACTTTGGTGATTTCGACTATTTTTCAACTTGGCTGCGCCTCGTTAAAAAAATCAGCTCTCGATCACCAGAGTAGCATTTCGCGCACTAGATGAAGAATAATTATAAATTGATGCAAAATTTGGGACCGAAGCTGAACCGGGCATTCAGATATCCGGATAATTGGACAAATCAAGAAAACTTAAACATTTGGACATCTATCTATATAACGTAAAATTTTATTCTCTACAACTTTTATTTCATGGGTTTTTTCAATAGGAGTATCTGTTTTCACGATATGTCGTCTTGGAAAGCCGCAAAATGTAAGCTTGCACCGAACTACGAAATTTTCTTCTTTTTTAACATTCGATTTCGGCTATACTACTAAACGGAATTTGATGTTTTCAGATGTCATTCGACGCAAAATTTTGCCTTCTATATTATTGAATAGAATGGCATTTTTCGACCGATGAACCATTTTGCAGCTATAAGCAAAAAAATAAAAAAAGTGCAAAAATTTGGCGGTTTTTTGGCTATCAAAAGTTAAGCTCAACTCCTGGAATGGTGCAAACTTAGATTACGCGCATTTGGGACCGAATGAAGGTAATTAAATGATTTCCAGCTTGCTGGAAATTAATTCCTCAAAATATAATTATTTGATTGGCCTATATAGCCTCGGCTAAAAACGTCTTGGCTATGAAACGATTGAAACGCATATAGGCCCATATGTATAGTAAAACAAATAACTATTCTTGGCTCTTGAGATTTTCCGTATCAGGTTTGGAGCAACAATAATGAAACACGCATTTGTTTTCCTGTTTTGTCGATGCATTGTTAGGGGTCAACACAAACCAGCTGAAGTATCATCATTGGATGAGAATTCCAAGTAAATTTCATTACTCAATGATTCAAATCTATTCATTCCAATGCTGTTTACATCTCCTTACCTTCACTTTTATGCAGTTACCATCTGGTGAAAGGAGAACCTGTAACAATAAACAACGAATCAACATTAGGACGAATGCGTATTCAACTCGTCTCATCCAAATCATTGGTAAAACTTGTTTTATATGAAATTTATTCTAGATATTCATATGGTGGGATAATGAAGTCGAGAATAATATAAGATGTCGTAACCGACCAAGTACCATTGTGAGGAATACTTATACAGGGTGTTTTTGGTATTGTATATTGTCAAGAAGTACAAATGCCAATGAATTAATATCACTCAAACTCTCGACTTTTCCAACTTGAAACATTCAGTACATTGTAGTTTCAATCAGGTCAGCGCAGTTCATATATAGACGTCATTTCCTTTATAATTTGCAAAGAAACCGGTTACCCCGCGATAATACCTAGGTAAGCAGTATCGAAAGGTAACGACCATTCCCATTGCGGAAAATTTCGAATCTAGCATCGATTCCCAATATAAATAGAACACGAATCGATAGGGATGGTCATTATCAGTTCACTCGTTATTCGATTCGTCACTAAGAATTATTATATTGAAATCAGTACATAACACTCATTCATTGATTGCTGACTTCCAAAGTGGCACTATGATGAGCCAATGACGGGAAGTTTGATCACCCTGTACAACGGAATGAATTCCTCGAAATGAAACGAACGGCAAATGATAATTCCGAGTAATAGGAATTGTAGCTGTACGTATCTCATTATTAGAATGCATCAAATAGGTCACTATGGTGTATCAACAGCTTGTAGCATGAAATTAATTGCCAACTTGGAATACGGTCCAACGCTTCTTTCAGCCTAATAAGTCCTCACTCCTTAGCGATGTTATTTTTACGTTATTTCAATGGAAATACACACCGGCACGATATTAATTGGATAAGTAATTAGTCAACATGATGTCGGAGTTTTACAGGTAGTAACAATTATGACTATTTATATAAAGGAAGAAAATACACTCCTTCGGTAAACACACCTTTGAAAGCACCATGGTTCAAATTATTTCCTTCCCTATCGGGAAGTGACATAACAACGTCATGCCGAATGAGAAGCGAACATTGTCTCAGTAATATCCAGCTTTCTTTCATGTTCTGGTTCCCACCAAAAGGGATATCCTGTAATGTGCAGAGAACATCGTGAGAAATACGGTAGGAATTGGTGTTCTTCTTGAATTTCTGGAGCTTATATGCCTTGGGGACCACCTCTCTGGCAATTTGTTTCAGAGCCTCGCTGTTCGTTGGATGAACGAGTCTTTGGAAAGAGATGTTCTGCACGTCTCCAAAGTGACCACGAAGTGGTGCGAAGCCCCAACTCGACGGGTTAATCTCGCGGGGACTGCCAAGGAACGAACAATTGTTGATATTTCAGAAGAGCATTGTCCATGAAAATATCTATAAAATAGAGCCAGATCGCCGAGTTTTCTACAATGTTCCAGAGAAGTGAGTGAGTTTGTAAGCGAGGCATCACCCACGAGACGAATTGACCTTTTTTGGACAGAATCCAATAGTTTCAGGGTATGTTTGGGTGCTGCACTCCAAATATGCAAACAGTATTCCAGGACAGGTCGGATCTGTGCCTTTAGATCATAAGCAGCTGACTGGAAGTGAAATAGCTCCTGGCCCGAAACAGAAAACCAAGTTTTTGGAATGCACTTTTAGCAATTTATCTCACGTGATTTTTCCAAGAAAGGTTATTGCTGATAGTAATACCAATCATCGAAATGGATGTCTTCAATGGTATGGTTACTCCTGACAAGCTTATGTTGGGCACAGTGAGATCGGCTTTTCTAGAGAAAAGGCATGCTTGTGTTTTGTTTGCATTGAAATCTACCAACTTATTGGATCCCCATTCGAGAATTGTTGCCAAGTCTAACTGCTCAAATAACCAGTACAATCTAAATATTTTTTATCAGTTACTGTCAAAGAATGCACTTAGCGAAGGAGGAGGGACCTACACTCTCTCACATCACAACATTCTATTTGAAAATATATCTGTTGAAAACTGCAAGCTAATTTCCAAATTTCTCAGTAATTCGGGCATGTAACTTCAAAAGTGAAAAACTAATAGTGAACTTCTAGTGCAGCTTCTGCGTATACTTGGCCTGATAGTCCTGGTAACTAATGCCATCCGAACCGAAAAGAAGAAGAAGGAGATGACTATTTTTGAGACATGACTGAAATATGGAAAAATTATTGAATCATCTCAACGTGTATAGAAATACGGGTCCGGCCGGTTAAGCAACGTGAAATTTCCAGTGCAATTGAATGCCGAATTGCAGAACATGTTGGACTCCAATCAACGACTACTCTGCTTCTTCCATTATTACCTTGTATACGAACTGTACGTGTACCTCCGACAAATTTTGAGTTCACACTGCCCTTTTCGTTTATATCTATCACCTCAAAATTGCATTTCTTGATGGGACTTCAGCGCGCACTGCCAAATTAAATTCACGGCGAAACCGCTTTCTGGGTTTCCACGATGGACTGGGTCAGGATAGATGATTTTACAGCAGAGATCCTTTGATTACCCGGCCAATTTGCTATTGTAACTTGTATTCTTCGATAATATACAACAATATAATCACTATTTGACGTATGTCAAATGAACAGTATCTCCATAGCAACCTTTTCAAAACCATTAAATCCTTTTGCCGAACCCTGTACAATAGTCAATAGTCAATCAGGTGAAAGAAACGACAAGCCATGATGTGGAATGAACTATTCACTTCCATGAAAGTGATTAATTTGATCAGTTTGGTATATTATTAACCAAACATAATATGAGTTAGAGAGAAACACCACAGTACCTCAAAGGGTTTGGCAATATAAAGGAATTCAATCACGTCCAGAAAGAAAAATGAGGGACTCAGTCACCTCCAGAAAGAAAAATGAGGTATATGATAAACATGAGCAACTCTTTCAAAAGTATTTTCAATGTAAAAAACTTCACAAATGATTTCCACAAAATTCCCAATTTCATTATATAATGTTTCGCTCATACAGTTGCTTCATCAAGTGAAACTTGACTTGCTTTACTTTCATATCGTGCCTTCCAAAACTAAAGGATCGAAACTAACTGTGGAAAGGTTGATTGAGTCTTCATTTTCGGAAAGTATACGCTCAATGATCTAATCAAATTAGGTGTAGTATCAACTTGAAAAGGATAATTACCTACCTACTATAAGGAAACGATTTCAACAGCGGTGAAATGATGAGGTCTAGTTGATCGTGATGTTAGATTTTCGCGTTTACTTGTAAAAAAAACAAATTCAACAAACGCGGACCATTTATTAGAAGAAAACTATAGTTCTGATGAAAATTTCAAAATTTCACACGAAGGAAATGAAGAAATGATACTCAATCATTTGGAATCATTATTAGAAATCAACAAGCGCAAAAATGTGTACATTTCACCGCTGTTGAATTTGTTTTTTTACTACCTAATTATCAATTCCAAGTTGATCCGGTAGGTACACCTATAATTTGATTCAGATTATTGAGCTCACTTCCCAGAAATGTATAGTCTCAATCAATCTCTCCAAGTTTTGGAAGGTATGATATAAAAGTTATGCAAATCGATGTATGTTTAGTTCATTGAAAACGAGTATTTCACTCGAAGAAGCTACTACTATGTGTTATAGCGAAACATGCCGTGAGTTTTGGAAATCCTATCGTTTGTGGAGATTTTATATTTACTACGGATTTTCATCAAGTGACGGCCGCGTCAATTTAAAAAAAAAAGGAGTAATGTGGGAATTTTCGAGTGTCTAAACTCTATACTATCAAACCTGAAATGTATTTTTGAATATTTCCCGGTGAAACTTGAATTTCCCAATATTCATCTCAATAGGAGATTGGAAGAGAAGAATTGTAATAGCATTGAGAAATAGTCTACAATCAATAACGTATTTCCATTAAATTTCAACAGAAACAAATTATCATTGGAAATCTATGTTTCCCTACCACAGCTCATGCATCAATGGTACATGAACTTCTACAAATAATCACATATCCGAATTACTCACAATTTCAATTGATTTGCACAAATATTTGAAAATTCTGGGAATACTTACATCCATTCGATAGAAACAATAGTACGTATAACACATTTGCGGAAATACATAAAACATTTCACAAATTTTCCACACAAGGCTCTTTATAATTGGAAAATTCCAATTCCCCATCCGACACATATTTATTCAATCCAAAAACCTACTGTTTCCCCTTCCATACTGAAGTTTCGCAGATATAATACGAAACTAAATTTCTGCATATCTATCGGTACCTAGTTTAATTAGTACCAAGAGCGTGAAAGTAATTTAGGTTTGCAATAAGAATTCGATTAGAATTTCCATATTTTGATTAATTCAATTAATCTTCCCAGTGCAGGAACTAGGATCAAGAATGCAATGATAATCCGTTCTCATATATTATTCATGGAAATAACTCATTTTCTTGGGATTTTCCTCTATCTCAGATTCACATTACGTATATGCACGTAAGAAGAATTCCTAATTCAAGATATAATATATACATATTTATATTTGTTCAGTCCCTAATTCGTCTATAGAGAATAAGACGCAGTCTCCTCTTGGAATAATTCATTCGAATCAAGTAAATTGAATAACTCTGAAATAATAAATTCAATGAAATATTTCATTTGGAATCCTACTCATAGTATCTGATTAGTCATCTCACTTTCTTTCATCTTTTTCAAAATCGGATAATTGATATAGCAGAGCGTTATGACTCGATATAAACTCCTATAATCCAAGTATGAAAATGGTAATTTATCATCAATTTGAAAGACACACTATATCTCCCAAATTTCCTTGCGCTTCAGTCATTGAGAATTGTACAAATGTAGAACTGAGATAGTTATTATCAAGAATCATTTTATTTTTCCATGTTGGGAACGTAGTCACGATATCCAAATATTGGTGGAATTCAAATTTTTTTGAATACACCTATATATTCCTCTTTCTCCAACAAAAAAAAAAGTGACCACTTGG